GGTCTGCCCGGCCATCTGCTCTGCCAGCAACAAATCCTGGATTGATTTGCCAATGTGATTAATTCAGCCAGGACGACTGGATCAAGGGATCAGCAAGAGACAATATTTATACCCTACCTCCAACTGTGAATGTGCAATTGTTTGGTTCAGCAGCACAAAGCATTGTATGGCTGTATTACTGGAAGAATAGGAAAAAAATAGATGCATCCACTCAACAGCCTTGTTTTCCTTGGGTGGCCCCGTTCCAAGGTCTGTAAGTGCTGTCTGACGTGAGCCCATTTTCTCCGAGAGGTGAAGCAGAGCTTTTCTGGCTTTATGGAGAGCTTCTGCATCTTTAATCCCATGTCGATGCTGCTGTTGCTCTCCTTGCTGCAGTTTAGTCCTAAAATCTTGGAGCTCCTGGCTCTGTGGCCTGGAGAGGCAGATGGGGAGCTTGAGCAGCCTCCCCACCCCATGCCCGAGGTTACTACTGGGAGAACTAGTGCTGATCCAGAGCAGGACTTCAGTCTTAAAAAAACAACCAGGGAGGTGGATTTCTAGCACTAGTAGGAGCCTTAAGTTGATTTGATAATAGGGCTGTAGCTGGAGAGGTCAAAAGCAACATTTGTAAAGGAATTTGGATGTAGATGAAGCCTTTTGAAATCCTACTTAGTGTGATTTAAGTGTTGAAAAACACATTGGGCCTGAAGGTGTGGTACTCCAGGCTACATGGAACAGGGAGACCAGTCTCCTGCATCTTGTGCTGACTCTTCTCTCCCCCCAAATCTCTGCTGGGGTCTGCATGAGCTGCCTGGGGGAAGCATGAGGTTGTGATAACCTGGCTGTGTCATCTGGCTGTTGACAAGACACTGAGCCCTGAACAGCTTATTTCTTTTGATACAAAGCAGAAGTGGGATTTATCTTGCCTCCTTTGGGGCAGACACAATACTGATGTTAGGGCTGGTGGAGGAGAGAATGCCTCATTTCTCCCACTGAGTAGCTGCCCTGACTCTACCTTGACTCAGTCTTCCTACCATATCCAGCAGTGCCCGGCTTTCTGGTAGCAGTGAAATAATTAACAAGGGAGACTTTTTTTAGGTGTTACCATTCGGTACCAGATGTAAAACCTTCTTAAATTGCTGCCACTGTGATTTCAGCTTCTTTTTATTCAGGCTCCCATCGCTGTACAGATTCATGTTTGGATCAGAATTTAAAATAATTCTGTGAAGAACTAACGATTAGGGGTGACATTTTCGGAGTCATTGACACTAGTTAGCCTAACGCAGAATGTTTTGGAAAATCCCCTTCTTGCTTTGTAAATGAGCAGCTGAATCTTGAAACACGATATAAAATAGCTCTTGAAAACACAATTATTGGTCCATTTGCCTGGTTACACGCTGGTGTTAGGCCCTGGGCTGGAAATTGCATGGAGAGCCATGAATGGGAGCTCTAGGCAGCAAGAGAAAAACAAATGCTGTTATTAAAAGGAGAGGTTGAGTTTTGGGTATTTAGCCTATTAAAAGAAAACTGTTGCCATCTGACGGTACGACGTTGGAGGGATTGAGGCCACGAGTGGATTCCATAATGAGATGGGGGAGATGCCTGGCGGCGTCTGTGTTTTGAAATTACATTTTAAATGCAATTCTTGTTTTTCTTGAGCCTTACTTTTATGTGCAAAGGAATTTATAACCGTAATTTGTTTATGTGGCCACGTACATAATGGCAGAGCCTAAACAGGGATTCTAATGATGAGTTAATTAGCGCAACAGGAAAGGATGTTTGCCGGTTCGGAAGGGAAGTTGGTGCCCTCGGAAGTCCAGGGATCTTTTCATCCTGCTGATCAAAGATTGAGGAGGGAACCGACATCCTCCAGCCTGATGTCTGTCAGCGCATGAAGGAGGTGAGTGTGTGGAGACCTGCAGTGCTTCTGCTGCTTCTGACGTGTATTTGAAAGGTGTGCAGATGGGTGACCTCCGCTCGACGACATTAGAGGAGCTTGGAGAGTCTTTTCTAAACTCTAGAGAAATATTCAGATCTGCCTCTCCTGAAAACCCAGTAAGTGAAGGCTTTATTGAAGTCAGCAGGACTTTTATTACAGTTTTAGACTGCAGTATCAACAGTATTAGATTCTTCCCTGATATCTATAACTGAAATGGCTGTTTTTTCCAGGGATATTCTCTTTAATATTGAAGGACGTGCTTAACCCCTGCATTTCAAACATGATAAATTCAGAAGAACTGCTCCATAATCTTCATCCCCAGCTCTGTCAAAGCAGCGTTGTTGTGACCTGCCAGAGTTGTCTTTCTTCAGCTAAATCTTCCTTCTGAACAGACTGCAACGCCCGGAATTATGGCTGATTATGCCACTGTTTTCCTGTAAGGACAAATACTTGAGAAGGATTTAAGATGAAGCGAACAGACACTGACGTTTTCCCTTGGGATTCCAATCAGGATTAAACTCGATGAGTCCAGGCCAAAAGGAAAGTGCATTAAAAGCTGAAGGCCATCTCCAGATCGTCGCTGGCTCCTCCTTGCCTTGTTTACAAAGTTTAATGGGAGGAGGTTCTGAGAAGAGACTCAGTTGCTGTTTGATTTGAGATCCCAAATAAATGAATAGAATGAATATTGATTAGACCCTTTTCTGCAGAATTTGCTTTCCATTTCCTTTTGTGTTATCTTAAAAAGACAATCTGTAATACAAGAAATCCTTCGTGGAACAAATCTCTGTTGTGCCAGATCACAGCTGCCTTTCCCTTTTCCTGACAAGATAATTGCAGCCGAACGCTCCGCAAGCACCAGGGGTCATAAAACGTGGCGTTCCTTGAGGTGGAACCTGTGTTAATTGCAAGTACGTGGCTGACACACCTCTTTATTTCTGGTACGACACCGCGTGTTGCACAACGTTCAGTCGTAGAGGAGCACAGAATATAATTAGCAGCGTAGCAACACCGTTGCTTGTGCGAGTGTAGAAGAGACCCTTTGTTTCCCTCTTCTTTCCCTGTGTTTCAACCGATATGGATCACGCATCCCCAATCCAGACCCGTCAGCATCCGTGCTGCGAAGGAAATCTTGCTGCTGGAGGGCATTGCCTCGCCAGGGAGGCTGTAGGTGTAAGAACTGAAGCAGTGATGGTTGCTTCTGGTTCGAGGAACCCACAACAACTTATTGTTGTTTAGACAATTATTCTCCCACCCCATCACCCCTCCCCACCTGGGAAGGGGAACTAGGAAAAAAACAAGGAAACCCGAGGGCTGAAATATAGACAGATTTAATAGAATAAGACTAGATAGTTAGCATTAATAACACTAAAGAACCAATATTGATCCTGATACCAATATAAAATACCCCAGGACTATCCCCATCCCACCCCAGGGAGCCGTGCACTCCCTGCAGGGACAGCCAGTGTGGGACCCTGCGAGGGCTCAGGGCTCTGGCACCGGGGCAAGGAGTTCTCAGGATCCCAGCCATCGAGGGAGAGAGAGAGAGATGTCGTAGAGGAGCACAGAATATAATTAGCAGCGTAGCAACACCGTTGCTTGTGCGAGTGTAGAACAGACCCTTTGTTTCCCTCTTCTTTCCCTGTGTTTCAACCGATATGGATCACGCATCCCCAATCCAGACCCGTCAGCATCCGTGCTGCGAAGGAAATCTTGCTGCTGGAGGGCTTGGCCTCGCCAGGGAGGCTGTAGGTGTAAGAACTGAAGCAGTGATGGTTGCTTCTGGTTCGAGGAACCCACAACAACTTATTGTTGTTTAGACAATTATTCTCCCACCCCATCACCCCTCCCCACCTGGGAAGGGGAACTAGGAAAAAAACAAGGAAACCCGAGGGCTGAAATATAGACAGATTTAATAGAATAAGACTAGATAGTTAGCATTAATAACACTAAAGAACCAATATTGATCCTGATACCAATATAAACTACCCCAGGACTATCCCCATCCCACCCCAGGGAGCCGTGCACTCCCTGCAGGGACAGCCAGTGTGGGACCCTGCGAGGGCTCAGGGCTCTGGCACCGGGGCAAGGAGTTCTCAGGATCCCAGCCATCGAGGGAGAGAGAGAGAGAGAGAGAGAACTCCTCTGCAAACCTTGTAATTTCTATTGAATATGTGTTATTTCATGGTATGAACTAACCCTGTTGGCAGCTTGGGTCAAGTGCCCGAGTCTTGCTCCTCCTCATCCCCAAACCTGGTGACCTTGAAAACATTGAGACCTTGGAACCTGCACCCCAGAGCTGGGGATAAAGTACGTATTTTCACCAATTCAGATGCTAGAGTCTTAAAAGTGCAGTTTTCCCAAGCATTAAAAGAGACTTTACTAAAAAGTAAACGAACTGAAAGAGAAATTAATTAATCCTGTATTGCCCAACCCAGGACATCGCTGTCTCTGGGTGCCTTTTGGAGTGAATACCTGCCCTGGATGGCTCTGACTGCTGGTTTCCGTACTGGGGGCTAAGACCAGCCTTGCCCGCTCCCAAGGTCTAAGAGCATTTTGTGTTCTTCCTTTCTAATTAATATTCACTAGGGTTAATTTTTAAATGTGTTTTCTGGGTTTGGCAGTGAAGTTTCACTGCTCGTTACGCCGCCGCAGCGGATTTATCCACCACGGTTTGGGGACGAGACGAGGGATTTCATACCCAAAGATCAACTTCATGTTCACAACAGCCCATTTCCCAAAGCCAGCTCCTTTCGCCCCAGTTCTCCCTCTTCTTTTGGTGCAGGATGTTCATCTTCTGTTCCTTTCCCTGGACGCTCCATGAATTGTGCATGAAGTTTCCTGGGAGAAAAAAATAAAAATAATTGTGGACTATTCGGCAGCTGTTATTTGTATGGAAATCATCGCTCACGCTGCTCGCCTGGAGGAAATGGCTGCAGGAATCCTACCCCCACTTGCTTTTATTGCCAAGTTTCGTTGCTTAAAACTGAAACGCCTTTTTTTTTGGATCCGCCGGGAGGGACGCGGGCGGGCGAGGCGGGGAATGGTGCTGCGGGCGGGCGCCGACAGGGGGCGCTCTCCGCGGGGCTGGGCGGGGTCCCGGCCGTGAATGATCCTTCCCGGCATCCCCCGCGTCACCCCCGCGCCGCCGCCGCCGCCCCGCCGCGGCTCCACCGGCCCCGCCGCCATGGCCTTCACCTTCGCCGCCTTCTGCTACATGCTGGCGCTGCTGCTCACCGCCGCCCTCATCTTCTTCGCCATCTGGCATGTGAGTGCGGGCGGCGGGCGGGCTGAAGGGACCGCGCCTCGGGGTCCTGAGGGGACTGGGGAGCGGGCCTTGACGGGGGGACTTGGGGCCGGGCCTTGAGGGGGGACGGCGCCCCGCGGCCCTGAGGGGACTGGGGACTGGGCCTTGAGCGGGACACGGCGCCCCACGGCCCTGAGGGGACTTGGGGCCGGGCCTTGACGGGGGGACGGCGCCTCGAGGTCCTGAGGGGACTGAGGACACCGGGCCTTGAGGGGGGGACGGCGCCTCGAGGTTCTGAGGGGACTGGGGACACCGGGCCTTGAGGGGGCTGGTCGCCCGACGGCCCTGAGGGGGGTTAGGGAGAGTCCGGTCGCCCCGCGGCCCTGAAGCGGGTGGAGGTGGAGGGGACGGCGGTCGCTCCGCGGCGCTGAGGGGCCGGGCCCAGAGCCGGTGCTGGCGGTGCGGCCCTTTCCCGTAAAACCGCCGCCGCTCCCCGTGTGGAGGCCTTGGCCAGGGGGGTCCGGACGCCTGCCCTGGTCGGGGAGGTGTCCGTCTGTCTGTCTGTCCGCCGTCTCCCCTGAGGCCGCCCCCCAAGGGTTTCTCCTCCCAGAGCCTTAGCGTCGGAGCTGGAAGCACCAGGGGGTCTCCTCTCTGCCCGGGGGCTGGCAGGGCGTCCCGGGCCGGGCAGAGCCGTGCTGGGAGCCCCGGAACCGCGTCTGGTCCCCATCGCCATCCTTAACCCTGAAGAAGCAGAAATTGGGCAGCGGAAACTGTGGATAAAGTGGATTTTTGAGTGCTGATATAAGATACATCCATTTCATTAAACAGTGCTTTAAATGAGTGCAGCCTTTTTAAAATAGCGGTTGAAAATGGTTTGGTCTGAAGTCAGTTTGGCGGCTTATTTAACAGAAATGATGAATGGAATGTTGCATTCTTTTCACGCTTTATGTTGAGACTTAGTTTTTGAAAATTTTTTGAAATAATTATTATTTTTTGGAGAGTTTTCTGTCTTGAAGCTGACAGGGGGAGATCCAGGAACCTACCGTGGATCAGCTGTAGCTGTGGGTACTGCTCTAGGAGAGGACGCGGGGAGGATGTTCTTGGCGCTGTGTCAAGCTTCGTAGTTATCCTTAACAAAAACCTGCTCCATTGTAATATCAGCCATGTCCTGTGAGCTTATTGGGGCTTATACTGAATATAGATCAATCTCATACCGATGATAAGATGGTTGTCTTAAGACTTTTTTAATGTTTGGTATGAACGTTCGTTCTGTAGAAGTGGCTTTTGTTGCATTTCATGGTGCCTCTTAGTCTGATTTTTATGGCAAGAAAAGGTCCGGTATCCAGGGTCTTTTTATGGATTCACCTTTTGGATGTATAAGTGGGATCAGCATTTACTGTGAGAGTAACAAGACACAACATTTAGCTGATTTTAAGATTGCTGTTGCTTTTTCTTCATTAACGAGCCCTGTCTCAGGCTCCTGCTGGCAACCAAGAGAGTTAAGCACGATATTTGGGGTCAGTGCAGTGGGGTTAAAAACTGCTGTAGGGGCGCTGGAAATTGGTTGCTGCTGAGGATTAAAAAGGCAGAGTGTGGGCAGCAGAGGGTGTGTCTGGAGTATCTTCTGCTTTCTTCTTTGTCAAATGCGTATTATTTATGACATTAGAACATACTCAGGAGAAGTTATGTTCCCGAGAATGGTGGCAGCACTCCAACTTTGCTATTCTGTACCAAAATGTTACTTTTCATGGATAAAAATACATTGTTGCTCTCAGACTGAAGAATCACAACTGTTTCAATTTTTTTTTCAGATTATAGCATTTGATGAACTGAAGACGGATTACAAGAACCCCATAGACCAGTGTAATACACTCAATCCTGTAAGTTGCCTGCTGAACTTTTTCTCTTTTCTTTAAATAAACATATGTGAAGTGATTTGGTTTTGATGTTACCTTGATTGACGAGGCAATAGAATTGCATCTGGGTGGACAAAACCTATAGCTGTTCAATACAAGTTCTAGGGAAGTTTCTTTGTCTGATTCTTTACTTTCAAGTTGAATATTCTGACTGTTATTAATCTGCTGCTGATCTTGTCAGCTGTCGTACTAACATTCTTTCAATCTGCTTTCCACATTTTTCGGCACAAAGACAGTTGAAAAGGTCAAAAAGATTAAAAGAGTCAAAATTGCATTAAAGGTGTGTACTGCTCTTCAGTTTAATGTTTTTAATGCCACTCCCCTTTCATTTTGTTAGGAACATTTGTAATACTATTAAGCTGTTTTGTTTAGTCTGCCTGTTCATCTGCTCGTTATTTGTTTGTTGGGGTTTATAACAACTTCATGGATTTCCGTTTTGTTTGCTTACCCAGTGAAGTGGGGAAAACTGTTACATGCCTGTTACACATGTCCTTAGCTGAAGTAAGTTCAGACAGAAATAAATAGCATTTCTCAAGCAAGATTTATTGAACCCTGAGATTATAGGAGACTAGTTCTTTTTTTTAGGTATTGGCTGAGTAAATTCTGATCTTGCCTGGGGACTTAGGTGGGTGAAACGTGATAGGTGTTATCTTCACTTCTTTGTTTTATGTTCCAGGATCAGGGGTGTATCTTGGTGTCCTCTTGGATGCAACTCTTGACACTCCTTGGTTTGTGAAAAGACTTACAGACAGACTGTTTCCTTGCGTCTGTAACAGGCCAATAATAAAAGGGGTGCTTGTTAAAGAGCATTTGGTTTGATACAGTTGGGTTTTGTGCATTTCTCATGGTTTTTACTGTGCCCAGGCTGAGGTAGAACGCAGGAGCAACGCAGCAGACTGCAACTGGACTGCAACTTTATTGCGTTTTGAAGAGTTAAGGAAGTTTTGCAAATTAAAAATTAATTTAGAGTAGCTGGGAGGGGGGGGAATGCGTGTTAGACATAGGGCACATCAATTGACAGTGAGTATTAAGAGCGTGCAAAGGGGTGGGGAGGAGGAGAGGCGATGGGCAAGGGGATATTGCACCCCAGAGAGCCAGGTTTGCTGCCCGGACAGCTGTGCATCTAACAGTTTCCCTTGCTTGGTCTGTTCTACTCTCATTTCTGCTCCGGTTCGGGGGAAGGCCAGTTCTCATGACATCGATGCATTATGATCTTATCTCCACCTTTGAAGTATTGTAATGCGCATGTTTAACGCAAATATTAACCTCCTGTTAACCCCCGTGCATGTAGTGTTTATTTACATGGTAGCTTTGGGAATTGAAAATATTAAATAACTAAATATTTGCTGGTCTTGTGGAAGTAGATTAGCCACTAAAAGTGAAGTTAAGATCCAGACTCTTGAGGGGAATCTGGTAAATGGTGCCGGACAAACACAGCGAAGCGTTGTTTTCCTGTAGAAAGAATCAAAAATCCTGGTAGGAACCGAGAAACCTCAGGAGAAAGATTAGCCCAAAATAGCAACTGCTTAATACACTGTTGATGCCTTCTCTTCCCTGCTCCTATTATAGTAGTATCTCTTCTCAGCAACAAGATTTCATCCTCCCTCACTTCCCTGATAAATATCACGGTAGAATATGATGTAGTTCATTTTCCTTAAGGACAACCAGGGAGGATAAAGTGTGGTAGATTTGAAAGAGTCAGGTATTTTGGTGTGGGAGTAGAGTATAATAAACAAGAGAAAGAAGAACGTGTTTTGAGATGTATAGTTAAATAAACTACAGCTTTTAAGAGCTGGTAAATCTGTCTCAGCAGGCTGCCAAATGCATTGTGTTTGGGGTAGGGTTGTTGTTGTTCCACTATAAATAACTGCTGAGTTGTAAATGGTAAGTACACAAAGAAGGATCTGGACAAAAATATTGACTTGAAACGTTTTGTGTCTGACAGCTTATTTTTGTTGATGCAAGTTTGCTTTGTTTGATATTCTTCATTCAGAGAAGCAGAATGTTGTAGCAAAGTAGGTGGTGAAAATGTCTGTTTGTTGGTAGTTTTTAGATTTCCAGGAAGATATTCTTGGGGTTTAAAAGAAGTGTCTGCTTAGAGAAAATGGAAAAAACTACAAAACACTGAAGCTTCAGTGTAGTCACCCCATTAAACATTTGTGATATCACACACAAAGAGGGGCACAGTGTGGGGGGTGTGTGTGTGCACACAGACAATTTAAATCTTTGGGTAGAAACGGAGTATTTTTCACGAGGAGATGTTTCAGCGATCCTGAGTTGAGAAGTCAAAAGCTTACAGATTTGCTTCTTCCCCAGTTCTGTGCTAAAGGAATAAATAATGTCACTTTGGGGGTGTCTTGTTTTAGAAAACTTTGGTCCTCTGGCGGGTGTGAGGTTTTGCTGGCTCTTTGCATGCCTTTAATCCGTGTATCTCTCCATAGCCTTCCTATTAATAACACTAATGCTACCTGGCATTTCACGCTTTGTGTGATTTCGTGGTAAACTGATAATTAGCTCTGTGGGCTTCTGCTGGCAAGCATGATGCTCTGAGGCATGGCTGGCAGGTACTGCTGAAGGAAAACAGAGCTGCCTTGTCTTCCCCAAGCCCCCCATGCGGAGCTGCCAGCACAGCCCCAGCCACTGCACGCCCCCGTGCCCCATAACCACTGCTCTTCTGGCTTGATAAAGCCTCTGCCAAGGATGCTCCATTTTGGCAATATTTAGGATTTGGACAAACTTGTGGGGGGGGGGGATGAACCCCAAAACCAAGCTGTGAAACAGGAAAAGGCAAACCATCTTTTTGCCTATAAACCGTTGCGTGGAGCATGTTCCCTACTGATATTTCTCTGTTGCATGAGCAGAAATATCTCCAGCTCTTCTGTTGTGAAGGTCATCTATAAAGCGTGGAATCTGTTAACGGTGCACTTCATGTAATAGAAGCAATAAAAACCTATTGATCTCAGCATTTAATTTTATAAATTTTTCTTCATGGCTCACAAATATCATGTGAAAACAGCAAGGCTGGTTGCTGTTTTCACTTTCTGCAGTCTTGTTAGTGTTGTGGTTTTTTTTAATAATATATTTTTTTTAAACAATAGCTTACCTCCAAAATAGATTAAACCCCACGCCTTTTGCTTTGGATAATGGAAATTTCTAACTCGTATTTTTCTTTTCCAGCTTGTACTTCCAGAGTACCTCATCCATGCATTCTTCTGTGTTATGTTTCTCTGTGCAGCAGAGTGGCTTACGCTGGGTCTCAATATGCCTTTGTTGGCTTATCATATTTGGAGGTAATATTGACCAGTCTGGTATCTCTCTATTTGCCTTAATTGTTACTCCTTCTCCCCTTGCGGCGTTTTCTGTGAAGTGTTTGGTGTCTTTGGTGAACAAAGATGCTTTCTGATGTGACACTGAGAAAGTTCATGTCCTGGCTGTAAAGTAAGAACCATCACTTTGCTTTCTGTCTCGTTTTTGTTTGTTAATCTCTTGTGCTGTGTCAGAATGCCAGAATGTTGTGTGCATTGAAGGCAGCTGGTGTGTATAAAGCGTGGAATCTGTTAACGGTGCACTTCATGTAATAGAAGCAATAAAAACCTATTGATCTCAGCATTTAATTTTATAAATTTTTCTTCATGGCTCACAAATATCATGTGAAAACAGCAAGGCTGGTTGCTGTTTTCACTTTCTGCAGTCTTGTTAGTGTTGTGGGTTTTTTTAATAATATATTTTTTTTAAACAATAGCTTACCTCCAAAATAGATTAAACCCCACGCCTTTTGCTTTGGATAATGGAAATTTCTAACTCGTATTTTTCTTTTCCAGCTTGTACTTCCAGAGTACCTCATCCATGCATTCTTCTGTGTTATGTTTCTCTGTGCAGCAGAGTGGCTTACGCTGGGTCTCAATATGCCTTTGTTGGCTTATCATATTTGGAGGTAATATTGACCAGTCTGGTATCTCTCTATTTGCCTTAATTGTTACTCCTTCTCCCCTTGCGGCGTTTTCTGTGAAGTGTTTGGTGTCTTTGGTGAACAAAGATGCTTTCTGATGTGACACTGAGAAAGTTCATGTCCTGGATGTAAAGTAAGAACCATCACTTTGCTTTCTGTCTCGTTTTTGTTTGTTAATCTCTTGTGCTGTGTCAGAATGGCGTTGTGCTGTGTGCATTGAAGGCAGCAAAGCTGTCAGACAGTGCAGGGGCACAGTAGTAGTGACAGTCCTGCTTCCTTCCTGCCACGGAGACACGGGCACTGCCTCTCCTTGTGCTGGCATTAGTCCTGTGCAGGGAGGAAATGCAGGAAACGGGAGGAATTTTACCAGTTGCCTGTGTTAAACTACAAGTCCAGCATCATTTTGTATTGAGTGTTCCTTCAGCGTGGCAGCTGGTGTGTGTTGTGTTAATGCACAGAGGCTGTAGGTTAACGGAGGGTTGTATGTTGGTCTCTTCTCCAGCTTTTCCAATCCATAAGGAATCCCATTTTTCATTTATTTATAAATTTGTCCTTTTGGTGTACTGGAGTCCACGTGGTTTAAGGCTGAGGTAGGCTATCACCACGCCTTCTGGGAAAGCCCTTCCGTGGGCATGTCCACTTTGGAGCTTCCTGGTGCTCTTCCAGTTCACCATCTCCTGCAGGGAGCTGAGGGACATTGCTCTAAGGGGCACCTTGGCTCGGTGCTGGTGTCACTCGGTGGGTGGGGGGGAGGAACCAACGTTTCCTGTGGCCCCACCACAAAACTAACTGTGCATCACTTTCAGGTACATGAGTAGACCCGTGATGAGCGGCCCTGGTCTGTATGATCCTACAACCATCATGAATGCAGATATTTTAGCCTATTGCCAGAAAGAAGGATGGTGCAAATTAGCATTCTACCTTCTATCATTTTTTTACTACCTATATGGGTAAGTTTGGTTGGTTTTTTCTTCTCTCCCATCTAATCTTTGGTCTGAAACTTTGTGCACAAGATAAATTTTGTAATGAAGAATATATATAGTGCTGAATTGCCTGAAAAAGAATTCATATCACCATTTATTCTATTTTAAATCACGTCTTAATTTAGTCAGAATTACTGATTTGAATCTGTCTACCACGACTGGAGGCTTGAAAGCTCTGAGCTTTTCTTCTTTTAAGCATAATATAATAACACCCCCCAAGTGTTTTCATTAAGAAGCTGGAACAATCCTAGTTTTAAAGTAGGTATTTTGATGTAAATGTGATTTTTATGGATGTCAAAGGTAGAAGGGTCATTCCAAGAGCGAAAAGAGGTGGGAGGCACTAAAGCCACCACCTGGTTCCTCCTCCCAGTTCTTCCCTCAAGCCAAAAACCGGAGTTCACATCTGCTTTGGGCGTGTGACACGGGCCCTGGTGTGTGGTGCTCCTTCTTCTCCACAACTCCTAGAGCACAGCTGAGGTAGTTCAGGCTCTGAAGGCATAGGCATGGTGTTTACAGAGGCTCCCTCTTACCGTGTCACTTGTTCCAGTGACATCTGGCTGTTGCATCACTTCATCTCTCACTTTCTGATGCCCTTTGGATGCTTTAGCGGCTTCGCGTAAAATCTTCGGTCACAACCCACCTCCCTCACACAGATTTGTTCCTTAGAGTATACGACTGTGTAATTAAATGTATAACACTAATCCAGACAGTGCATTTTAATATTCTTATTTTCTTTTCCAGCATGATTTATGTTCTGGTGAGCTCTTAAGAAGACATTCAGCAAGCTTTGTTCCAATTAAGTGCATGCAAAAGCCACAAACCATGGATTCTTTACAAGGAGAACCTCCTACCAAGATTAAATACGGAATCTGACGATCGCATTTCCATTAGAAAACAATGACTCCCCTATTTTTAAAATATTTCCACGCTTTATATTTGTGGAAAGACTGTTTTCTTATATTTTACCGGGACACTGAAATCAAAGAATTACATGTAAATTACCATAAAGATTACCGGGTTTTGAAAAGTTTTGACTTTGCACTCTGTAAGGAACAGCCGTAATCTTCGAGTAGGCGTGGGGGTACCGAGTAGCCGTAGGGCTGTAGGATTTTCTTTAGGCTGGGCTTCCTAGTGGCTCATTTGGACTTGCCTTTCCCCCCCTGTCCATCAGCTGCAGCTGGAGGTGCTGCGTGTCTCACCTGTAGGCAACCTCGGTCTTAAGAGATGAACTCGTGGATGCAATCGCAAAAATAGGAGCTCTGTTTCGGTTTATTTTATTATTATTATTTTTTTTTTCTATCTGGTTTGTCTTTCCCTGTATATGCATGGTTCAGATTTCTGTATTTTCACCGAACGTTAGCCTTGCTTTAACCTCGAGCATATGTCGTTGTGATGGGAGAAGTCAAATTGTCCATGAAGGGATGAATTTAAATGATGATGTTGTATTATTTTTTTTTTTTAAGCCTGTGCTGTCTTATTAACAAATGGACAAACCTACTACATTTATCAAGTCCAATGATGGAAATATTCTTGGGTTTAAGAGTAATGCTACAGACCTTTTGAAAGCAGAAAGTGAGATTGTGAAACTGCCCTGCTGTTCCTTAGTGCAATAAACAATAAAAACAAACAAAAAAAATATCCCAAATTCAGAAACACTTATTTTTACCTGGTGCCTTGTTTTGTTTTTAAATTGAACTGATACTTGCTGTATTCATCTGTTCGTTTCATGATGGATAATTGCGTTACCTTTTAAAAATAGAATGCTCAATCGAGTTATGTCTGGAAAAGGGAAGCTCTGATTTCCTGCTTTTTCTCCTGAGTCTGCAGCCAAACAGGAGATGGGGCAGGGGAAGATGTTTCAGCTTGAATGATAATTCCGCGTTGTAAATTGTTACTGCAACAGCTGCTTAATTTAGGAGGAATAATTAGGAATCTTTTTTTTCATTTGCCTGTGCTGGAGAATAATGAATAGTTTCCTGGTTCTAGTAAAATGGTTTTATATAAACTGTTTATTTGGTCTCTTGGGTGTTAGATGGAATAAAACCGGCAGGAATGGCTGAGCTGGGTTGTACCAGAATCCAGTTCCCCCAGTGCTGGGCATTGGCAGGGACTGAGGAAACAGAGTATGAACAGGGCAGGCGTTGGATATCTCGGCCTGGGAGAATGGCTTTGGAAATCTCCCTGTTACACGTGGCCTGAGCCAGGGGTTTGGTATCTTCTGTGTCCCTTGAATCACTTTTCTTCCATTACAGAATCACATGGGGTTGGAAGTGACCTCTGGAGATCATCTAGTCCAACCCTCTGCCAGAGCAGGTCCACCCAGAGCAGGTCCCACAGGAACGTGTCCAGGTGGGGTTTGAATGTCTCCAGAGAAGGAGACTCCACCACCTCCCTGGGCAGCCTCTGCCAGGGCTCTGCCACCCTCAAAGTGAGAAGTTCCTCCTCATGTTTAGACGGAACTTCTAACATTCAAGTTTGTGCCCATTTCCTCTTGTCCTGTCCCTGGGCACCACTGAAGAAAGCCTGGCCCCATCCTCCTGACACCCACCCTTTCAGTATTTATAGGTGTTGATCAGATCCCCCCTCAGCCTTCTCTTCTCCAGACTATAAAGACCCAAGTCCCTCAGCCTCTCCTCATAAAAGAGATGCTCCAGGCCCCTCATCATCTCTGTAGCCCTCTGCTGTCCCCTCTCCAGCAGTTCCCTGTCCTTCTGGAACTGGGGAGCCCAGAACTGGTCCCAGTGCTGCAGATGGGGCCTCCCCAGGGCAGAGCAGAGGGGCAGGATGACCTCCCCCTCATTAATTCAGTTCCTTCTTGAGCACTTCCATAGCCTGGTCTGGAAGTTATGCTGAAACAGCGAGTGGAATTACTCAGTATTTAAAAAAAAAATATTAAAAATACTTGTTTCAAAGTTCTGTCAGACTTCATTTGGTGCCTCTAAGCTCTTATTTTTTTTTAGGACATATTGAAAATTTCCCCTTTTCCACCTTATTTACACCGAGCGTGATTGAACAGACCTTCATCGCGTCATCTGTCGAAGCGGAGAAGTCTGTTTAATCTCTTCTTGATTGAAAGTCCTGCTGTGGCTTTGTGATTATCCCTTCTCCTCTGCAAATGTTCCCTCCCTAAGCTGGCGGAGCCCGGGACTGGTGTCATCAGGCAAGATTTGGGTGCCCGGGGGATTTAGAGCGGGGGTTGGTTGCTCTTTGCATCTGAATTTGTCTCCTTTTTTATTCTAACGTGCTGGGAGGATGAGAATTCAGGCTGGGAGAACTTCAAATTCTCCTTCCTCAGTGATAAATACCTGACAGCTTATAGCTATGGATATAAAATTGTTTTTCTCACGTGTTCCCTCTTTGTGTTTATTGACACAATTTCCCCTGTTATTATTTTGCCCAAATACCACTACAAGAGTTCTGTTGGTTTTTTCCCAACCCATTTATGGCAGTTGCAGGTGTTCTCTCTCATTTTCTTTGCAAAGTTTTCCACCCTGAGCCCCTCCTCACCCCCAAACTCGTTACTCCCATTCTGTAGTTTGACAAGATTTTTTTCTTCCTTGCGCAATCGTAACGCGGAGCTTTTAGCAGGAGAAATTTTGAAAGGCTTTTTTGGAAACTCAGGAAGGTTGTGAAAACGTAAAAGTCCACCGGGATGTTCCTGGACAGAGGAATTCAGAGGTGAAAAGGGCCCGGTTCTGCTGGTGAACTTGAATTTACCACTAACCCCAGGAACAAAAGACTTTCCTGGTGCCTGTCCTGCCTCCCACAGTTAAATGCAGAACCGAATAATTTAAGTAATCTCCTTTCAGAGATCTTTAAACTGTCAAAGCGTCGCAGAGAAAGGTCCTGAGTGTGAGACAGAAGTTACAAAGCCCCGTAAGAACCCAGCGTGTTGAATTGTGACAACCACCCAGCGGAGTCCCCCAGAGAACGGTGTTTAGAAACTTGCTTTCAGCACTTTTATTTATAAAAAAAGGTTAGTGGCTGCCGGGTGGATCCAACGTTGCCGTCTGTCCTGGCCAAGGGAGCCTCACGCCAGGGATTTGCCCGAGTGTCCTTGTGACAGCAACAGATGGTGTAACGGGGACCTGTGTGACACCGACCGAGCTGGGGAACCTCTCATTCCACCCTCAAACTGCAGACCTGGGATTAATGGATTGTTGGAGTTCCAGGAGGCAAGAGATGATGGAGAAAATACAGAACATTCCACTCTCCCCGTCAGCAAGTTTCCTGCTAAACCATCTTAAAAAGCCATCTGAGATATACTGAATTTCTGAAAATCATCAGTTGTGAGGATTTGGCAGTGAAGAAGGGACAGACACTTTTTTTGGTTTTCTGTTTGAGTGTCGGGGAAGGGACAATGTACATTTTGAGCAAAGTATTCTCTGTGATTCCACACTGTGGAACTGGGAGAGTTCCTGTTGTCTGTTTTAGGGGTGGAGAAGGGAATGGCAGGAAAAGCTAATTAAAGATAATCAGTAAAAATCACCTTTAAACGTGTTACAGTGTCTGGCTCCAAACAGGGTGTTTAAAAAGGCTGTAAATTTTAAAGTGAGCAAAGCAGTGAGTTGTACTTCAACTCAAACCCACCCGTGCTGTGGTAGAGTCTCATGTCACAACTTCTGACTTGAAAAGTTCCTGAAACTTTATTAAAATAGCCCAGAAGCCCCTGTGTGACTGCAGGCAGTAGGGAAGCGGGGGGTGCCACCTCGGGGAGCACAGGAAGGTGACCTTGGGAGCAGGACAGCAGCTCTTGGTGGTGCTGGAGAGGCAACCAGCCCCTTTCTTGAAGCACTTGGGGAGGAAAAAAGCACTTAGAAAGGTAACTCCCAGGGAAGAGGAGATGGTGGCAGGGCAGGAGGACAGTGGGGATGTGGACACTCAATGACTTCAGCCCAGAGGAGTTCCTCAACTCCGCTGGTTTGTCTGAGAGGGAAAGTCCTGAGTGACACAGGTCACCTTCCTAGAGCCAAAACTTATCTCTGGAGACCTGGGCACTGAGGTGGATGATCATCATGTCCTTGGAATGGGACAGAACTAGTTAAAATGTTTTTCTTGAGGAGGCTGTTAATCTTCTCAGGTCTCTCTGGGTGGGTATGGTTACCAGGGGGGATGGAGTGTTACCCGGGTGTTGCTGTGAGATTCTCCCCAGCCCACAGCTCACTCTGTGTTTACTTTCTCCGCCGTTAGCACCCGGGAGGTGCCGTGCCAGAAACTCACCCACGCACCTACGGCACGGCAGGCTCTCCTCACATCCACTCATCCTAAAATTCATCTAAAATCCCACCTGCTTGGTTTGTCCCGGCTCTTCAGCATAAAACCTCCTTCCGTTGGGACGAGGGGACTCGGTCCCAGGTACCCCTGAATGCACTAAGAGGAAATAAGTGACCTTTTAGACCGAGTTCTTACTAGTTTCTAAGGGCCGAGCACTCCAGTGTGGGTTTTGATGCTTGACTTTCCTTTGGTTTAAAGCTAAAGGTTTTTTGCAGGGGTTACTTTCTCCCAACACAACTTACAAAGGCAGTAGAGAAGGAATTACCTTTCATCTCTTCTCCTACCCACCAGGGGCAGAAGCCAGCTATGGGCAGTGGAGTCTGCGCTCAGCCACGAGGAGCTACAGACCATTCTCTGCCTTTGCCTCCAATTTGTTTGTCCCTGTCTTCAGCAGGGGAGTTGGACTAGATGATCTCTACGGTCCCTTCCAACTCTAAAAATTCAGTGAAATTCTCATGCTCTGTAGAACAGAGATGAAGGCAAAATAATATTTGGAGCCCTTCCAACTCTAAAAATTCAGTGTAATTCTCATGCTCTGTAGAACAGAGAAGGCGGCGAAACGATATTTGGAAGTTTGGTCCTCAAGAATATGGTTTAGTGGTTTGGGATTTTTTTTAATTGCTTTTTTTCTTATTTATTTTTTTGTCAGAGTTGCTGGTTGGACTAGATGATCTTTAAGGTCCCTTCCAACCTAGACAATTCTATGATTCTAGGTTATTTTGCCAGCCCCACCAACCTAGATGATTCTATGATTCTAAGTTATTTTGCCAGCCCCGGCCTCCCTTCCTCTGGGTGAGTTCCCTGCAGCCGCCCGTAGGATGTCAGCCCACCAGTTTTGGAGGGGGATGCAAATGCTCTCAGTACTGAGTGATGTTAAAAATGAAGTAGACACTGTGTAAGAGTCATTATTGTATGGAAAACAAGCTCCTGAGGCGTGCAGGCCACCTACACTCCCATATATTTTTAAGGCAGTGAGTATTAAAGACTGTGCGTGCGCGAAAGCGGGCGGTTGGGTCCCGCAGGCAGCAGCCAGGAGAAACCAAAGGTGAGGAGCGAAGCGTCTTGTCCCTCTGTCTGGTGGCAGCCCCGTGGACACAAAGACAAGCCACACCGCTACGGCCGGTCCGAGTCACCGCGACACCGATCTCAACAGCGTCTCCTTCGTCGCCAGATACGCCGCTAGGTTCTGCCGAAAGTCGTGGAGGTAATTGTACTGCTGAAAAAGCACAACCAGATGCGTCAGGAGCAGTCTATAATTTGGGAAAAGGCACTACTCATCTTAAAAAGCTGATGGAAACCGCACCCTCTAATCTGTTTGTTTGTTCTTTTTGTGTTTACTCCCAATTCTCCGGAATTTATCCACTGGATCCTGGCTTGGCTCCTGTGGTTCCTCCTAAAGGGCGCCCCTGAGGTCAAACCGTGGCCCTCAGTAGGTGGGTGCTTCGTGGCAGAATTCAAAGCTGCTTTACTGGGGTCACCAAGGGTCTCACTCTCCCCATAATGAGCCAGTGACACAGAACACGGCCTGTAGCTGGGATGATGATCTACAACAGCTTACAGTAAGAGTTCTTTGGTCAACTCGTACATCACGTGGAGTGATACACAGTCATGGAATTGTCAGGGTTGGAAGGGACCTCTAGAGATCCTCTAGTCCCACTCCCCTGCCAAAGCAGGGTTGCCCAGAGCACATCACTCAGGATGGCATCCAGGTGGGGCTTGAAGATCTCCAGAGAAGGGGACTCCACACCCTCCCTGGGCAGCCTCTTCCAGGGCTCTGCCACCCTCATCCCAAAGAAGTTCTTCCTCAGATTTGAGTGGAACTTCCCATGGTCCAGCTTGTGCCCGTTGCCCCTTGTCCTGTCACTGGGAACCACTGGAAAGAGTCCAGCTCCATCCTCCCTCAACCCACCCTTTAGAGACTTACAAGCATGAATGAGGTCTCCCCTCAGCCTTCTCTTCTCCAGGCTAAAGAGCCCCAGCTCCCTCAGCCTTTCCTCATCAGGCAGGTGCTCCAATCCCTCTATCATCTTTTATCGCCCTACGCTGGACTCTCTCCAGCAGTTCCCTGTCTCTCTTGAACTGGGGAGCCCAGCACTGGATGCAGGATTCCAGCTGTGGCCTCACCAGTGCAGAGCAGAGGGGGAGAATGACCTCCCTCTATCTACTGGCCACACTCTTCCCTATGCAGCCCAGGATCCCATTGGCCTCTTGGCAACAAGGGCCCATTGCTGGCTCATGGAGAGTTTACTGTCCACCAAGAGCTCCAGATCCTTCTCCTCAGAAGTGCAATACGCCAGCGTTCAAAATGAGATCAGGATGTTGGTCAGTGGAGGCTCAAGGACAGATCACCCACCCCAAGTGGCCACGAGGGCCTCCAATGAGAACATTTGGTCATATCCTTCCCCATCTCTTCAGTCAGGGATGCAGAGCTGCTCCTCACCTGCCCTCTCGCTTTGGAGAAAACTAATTTTCAACAGGGAGTTTAAACAAGATTTGCCTTCCAGAGAGGCTTTGAACTAGCAAAGAGACAGTATTTAGGCAACTCTTTCTCCATAGAAACTACTAGAAAACTCTTTAATTGTCAGCTCCTCTTTCCTTTACGTAGAGCTGTTTTAAAAGCACAACATCTACGAGTATGTACACAGAGTAGCTAAAAATCCCACCAAACCAAGAAAAACCCATTACGTTCAGCAACTCAGGCCTCCCCCCACGTTGGTTTTATCACTAGTGCTGGGGATACTTCTTACAAGACAGCTGCCAGCGCGTTGATGTGATAGCGATAGAAGGTGGAATGAAACCACAACAGAAAAAATCAAGCAAGTGTCCAAGTTGTGAGGAGAATGTGAGCAACACAAAAAGGGACAATAGCTCAGTGAGTGATGAGCAGGGAGAAGGAGGTAGCTAAAGAGGATTAGGGAGGTGATGCTCCGGGGAGACCTTAGAGCCCCTTCCAGTCCCTCAAGGGGCTCCAGGAGAGATGGGGAGGGAACCTGGATCAGGGAAGGGAGCCATAGGACAAGGGGGAACAGTTTTAAACTGAAAGAGGGGAAATTGAGATGAGATCTCGGAAAGAAATTCTTTGCTGTGAGGGTGGTGAGAGCCTGGCCCAGGTTGCCCAGAGAAGCTGTGGCTGCCCCATCCCTGGAGGGGTTCAAGGCCAGGCTGGAGGGGGCTTGGAGCAACCTGGTCTGGTGGGAGGTGTCCCTGCCCAGGGCAGGGGGTTGGGACTGGATGATCTTTAAGGTCCCTTCCAACCCAAACCATTCTGTCATAAGGAAGAGAAAGCAACAATGGTGGTGAAAAGCAGACAGGGAGAAAAGCTGTTGAATTCAACAGAAGCAGGACAAGAAGCAGCATGAAAGCAGAAAGCCAGAAGCAGCTCAAACCCAAAAGAACAGCAGGGGCACTAGCTGTGGAGCATCTCAAACCCAGAGGGATCCCTTTGTGTGGTGGAGGAGAGGACCGTGCGAGGTCTCTGCTCTTGTTTCAACACGTGTGTTACCTGCTGTAGCCTCGTTACCTTGATGGTCTGTATGGCCCCGGACCCTCTCAAGCTCCTGAGGCTGTCTATGGCCTGCTGAGGTGCCAGAGCCTCCGAAAGCTGAAGCAGGAGACACGCAGCTACTGTAAGGGAAAGGTATATACACATCTGTGTGTGCTTCTGAGCCCCTCTTGCTGTACACAGCACGACTTTATGCCATGAAAACCTCTCTAGCAAAACTCAGCCTCTTCATATTGGGGTCATGGATCTGTTGGATCTTTTATTGAATACTATTTCTTGGCCCTGACCCATCTGCTGCTCCTGCCCAGAGCTTTGGAAATGGGTGAAATCCCTCCCACTGTTTCCTCACTGCCTTTCCAGCAGCATTTGAGAGGCAAATTCTAGGCTTTTCAGGAAGTTAATTCCTCTTTGTGTCTTCTGACTATATTTGCTTTTTTGGCAGTATATATTTGCTTTTTTGGCCCCTTTCCTTCTGGGGCACACACAGTAATTAATGCCCCTGAAAGCTTTAAGGGGGAACATTGGGCTGAAGAAAGGTGCAGAGGAATAGATTCGTCTCCTGTTCTTGAGGAGATGTTCGGGGAAGAGGGGAAAGCGCAATCCAATCAGTCAGAGGAGACTAAAATTTGCAGTGAAAACGTAGAAAGAGTCAGAAAATAAGAGAAAAATTTTCTATTGACCTCACTGAAAGACTGACCAAATATATTAACCACCCTCCTACCCACAGCAGCAGTTGACATTGTAACCATAACTAAGCTTCATGCAGATTTTGGCTCCTTTGGACAGTGCTGTCTCAGGAGAACGGGTTCGTAGGATGATTAATTAGTCAGCCATCGAGAGGGAAAGGACAACTTCTTACCGAGACACGAGCGTCCAAGGCCACCGTAGCAGCTGAAATAGCAGAAAGTATTTGGTTGTAACAAGCTGTAGGATGCTGCAACACCCAGAGCCCACTCAATACATAAGTATGGGGACACAATTCTTGCCTTAATATAATCAAGAGGAGCAGTGGTACAAGAAAGTCAGAATATACCCACAAAGCTGTCTCCCATTTATTCTTTAGACCTTCCATAAGAAGTGCCTTTCTAGAGAAACCACAATTTCCAAGCTCCCCTTCATTTGTGATAATAATCCCAAAGGCACAGGAGGACAGCAAACGGCACGAAGATGGACAACCTTGATTTTCTTTCCATCCTGCACCACATTAAGGCTTTGATGACAGTTGTGAGCTAACGAGAGCAGCAGGGCTCTGCCTCAGCAGGGAGCCCGAGGACTCAGTGGATGTCTGCGCGGGGAGCTGTCAGCAGGATCACTCAGGGAACGCAGAACTTGGAAAGCTCTTCCCCCTCCACCCCGAGCTCAGCTACGAGTGTCTAAAGAAATTACTTTAAACCCATTTCATGCAATTTAAGAGTGAGTTTTGCACTGCTGGAACCCACTGAGTCCCTGATAAACAGCCCAGGGGTGTGTTATCCTCTGACAGCAGCTGTTTTAGTTTACAGCTCGGATTGTATACCTGATACCCAGCCAGGCCAGCGGCAAGGAGCCATATGGTGCCATTCAATACACATTTTGAAGCGCTTGCGGGATTGAGCAAGGGGAAACGGGAGACTGAAATCTTGCAAAGGACAAGTTGGCTCCAAAAAAGGTGCATGAAGAGAAACAAGCAGCTTTTCACAGCTTGAACTCTGAATGCAGTTGTCATTTGACAGGATTCTGTTACAGCTAGTCATGTATCTAGAGAGAAGCTGGTATCTTTTACAGGAATGTGGGGCGAAAGGGAGGCAGCCAGAACCTACTGTACGATTGTTTTCCGGTTACTTTCCAGGCAGCTTCTGAGCTCTTCCAGAATTTTGTAGCACTTGGCAATGTCAGGAGCGTCCCCGTCAGGAATAGGGTAGTGGTGCACGCAGATCCCGTGCTGTTGGTAGGTGTCTATAAGGTTTGGTACTCGGTATTTTAAGAGCTCCCCTCTGGTACAAAGCACAAATATATCCTGCGTCCCATAGTTCTTTAGTTCTTCTGCCAACAGATCAAGACATTTGCAAATAAACAAAAGCCTAAGTGCAAGCTTAAGGATAAACAGATAAGCTACTTGGTATTGATTCTTTTGTTTAATCTTTGAGGTTAAGACAATAGGAGTTAGCAATTTTGCTCTGAGCAGCTTTTACTTCTCCTGAGTCTCTCCCACACTTGCTTCCAGGTAACCCACGAGAGGAATTTCCTCAGCTCAGAGTGAACCTTGGGACAAGCCTCACCAGAAAGCACAGCAGCACATTAAGCACCAGCTTAAGCACAATTCTGTCCCATCTCCTGCTGTGACTATGTCCAAACACTGTGGGGTTTTGCTATCAGTCTCTGATCTTCTAATATTTACAGATGACTACTTGGCACAAATCATTACGTTATTTCATGTTTTCTATCCCAATCGCTCTTCTTTGGGAAGAAGAGATTACAAATTTGTAATTCATCATGGTCTTAGCTGTTTTGAAGATGCCTTCTCCTGCACATGACTTAGACCTTGTGGTTACTGTGAAAGATATAGAGATACCTGTATAGCTCCAGCCTGGAAACACCCTGACTATCCAGTATTTATAGAGAAGCCACAGAGAAAGTGGCACTGCACAGGTAAAAGTGGTATCTAGTACTTGTAATGATGACTGTGCTAAGATAATTTGCTGCATCTCCAAGAACAGTGTTACCAAAACTCAGGTAGACATTGCTGTCAGATGTAAACCCAGAAGACACTGTAAAGACCTGCCCTGCATTCTAACATCGTGGCATGTTAGACAGACAACTATAAATTACTATCCATTATAAAAAGTACAAATCAAACACCACCACCTCTCAAAGTGAAGCCATGTTTTAGATACCTGGTGTCTGGATCCCTATGCCCAGATTAGATAAACGACAGCTCCATCAGTCTCCAGACTAAGACAAAGTAAACCTCTTTACTTTAAATCGCTTCTCAATAACTCAAGCTTTCAGTTTACCTGCATGTTGTTCTCACTCATTACATGGAAGTGAGAGGCACTTGTACAGCGGCCAGAAGACTCACCTATATCTTTCTGAAGATTTCTTCTAACATCCTTAAATCTGCAGCCTAAAACAAATTATGGATGACAATTACCACTCCAAATATGTGACATTTGTGGAATGGCTGAAGAACACAGGACAGCTGAAGAATTTGGACAGACAACCTCCCTCCAAAACCAAAGCAAGTATCAAAGCAAAACCCCAAATAAAACAGTTCTTATTTTTGCAAACAGATCACTAGCACAGAAGAGAGTTTAAACACCATTATCCGCTTAACGCTGTAATGTAATAGGATTAAAAAAAAACCTGCCCAAGGTTTTAAGCTGCTATGTATTTTCCAGATGAAAAGTTCTGGATATTATAAATCATGACTGGTAGGAAAGTAAGTTCCCTCTTCTGTAATTCTCAGCACAAATGACATTAAAAATCATCCTTACTATTCAGTTTTCCTCAACTCATGGTACCAAGGCATTTTTGCGAGCCCTGTGGAATACTGCACTGCGCTATTCACAGCTACTGTTTGGTTTGTGAGATGTAACTGCTCAAAATACTCACACTGTGTCCTCCCTCTGTCTCCCCTCCTTTCCTTACAGCCCCATAGGCACACAAGCTTTACGCCTGCCCTGACAACAGTCAGGATTGTTCACCTCTTGAAACACCTTTTCAAAGCACAGCAGCAGAATCCTGAAGACCAAGAGCTGTATTGAGAGGGCTACGACTGGAGGTTAGTATATGAAGATTAAACAGCTATGAAATGAGCAGCTCAGGTGGCTAAAAAACATAATGCAGCAATTTTTTTGGCATTATATGTTAACTGGCGTTCAAGTGTTAGTGGGATTTTCATCAGCACTGGCCATCACTCACTTCAAGACACCTTAAATTGTTCAGCACTTGTTTTCTACTTCTTTAGTCTGGTATTAGTCCCAAGCTTATATTTCTTGGAGTTGGCTAATGAAAATAACTGCTTTAAACAAAGTAGGGAAAGTTCACATTGTAATCACCAGCAGTTCTATCTCTTTTGTGACCACAAGAGATGCACCACAGCTGCAGTTTTGTTAGTTAAAAATACAGTGAAAGCTTATATGTTTATTTTTATGTTATGGCCATGGTACTGCAACCCAGACACTAAGGGAGAGCAATACAGACCTGTCAGCAAAATGAGTGTAATTTGAGCCTAATATATCTTATAAAGGAATTACTTGTCAAAGCAGTCCTGTTTGACTGTTGTTGCTTGTTATAAATAGTAAGCCAAGCTAAAAAGCCAAATATTTTAACTGACGATGGAAGATGGGCCGTATTCTCTTACCAGATAATCTTGCATTAAGATATTCTCTAGACTATCTCTATCTTTGGTACTTCTGAAAGAATTATTCCAGTAGTAGATTACGAAACAAGTCACCCTACCAAATAAATGTGACACAGAATTTTGGGGTACAAGATGTTACATCTCCTCAGTTTTGAACCCGCTTGCAAATTTCAGTGAATGCTTCTTACCTGGAAGGGAACACAGTCCCAGGAATTTAGAAGAGTAGGCAGGAGACAAAGGCAGCCTTTTGGGAAATAAAAGAAAAATAAATTAAACCAGAAGTTTTTGATTATTTGAGTAGAGACAGCTCACTATAGAGACATAACTTCCTACCAGACATTCATCTTCTCTGGGACCATGAGAAGAGTTACCTAACTCTAATCCAATTTTAAGAATAAAACGGAAGTATTCCAGTGCTATTTCTACAACATCTACCACACATTTAGCACTGTACTTCATCACATACCCCTATGCAAGAGGAGGAGAGAATTTTTGACAAATCCCAGCCTTAGCACCGAGGCATTTGGGCTAGCACGACCGATGGTGACTAGTGAATGCTTCCAAAAGCAGACCTGGCCCCACATCCCCTGACAGGTCACCAGCACCAACTTAACCCCTTTTCGGGGCACCATCAGGCCAGGCACCGCCTCAGCCCTCGCTGCAGCCCCTCACCAGAGCCTGGCGCGGGCTTCCTTTGGGAAAAGGCTCCCGTTTCACAGGAGGGGGATATAACGTGGTTTCTGAGGGAAAAGCCGGCGGGGCGTGTCTCACCAGGAGATGGGGAGCGGCCTCGGGTCCTCCTCCTCAGCGGCCTCTTCGTCAGAGGAGTCAAAGCCGCCCGCTGTCACGGCGCAGGGCTGCGGCGGGAGGAGAGCGCGGAACTCACCTGGGGGCCGGGGGCCGCCCTCCCCCTCGCCTGAGCGAGAGCTGAGGCGACCCCGGGGATCCCGATCCCGACCCCGGGGATCCCGATCCCGATCCCGACCCCGACCCCGACCCCGACCCCGACCCCGACCCCGACCCCGACCCCGACCCCGACCCTCACCGGCTTCATCATGGCGCTGCTCCTCAGCCGCTGCCAGTTTGAACTATCCCCGCCCACCCGGGCCACCTCATTGGCCGAGCCTTTCCCGCCCTGCGTCCAATGGGGAGCTGCCGCTCGTGGAAAGCCTCCGCCGCCTATTAGGAGAGGAGCATTCCGATTGGTGGGCAGCGAAAGAGAGGCAGGCTTTAAAAAAAGAAACACAGGAGCTGGCGGCGGCGGCTGTCTTTGTGCTGATTGGCTGAGGCGCTGTGGCGGGAAGGGCCGCGTCTCGAGCCGCGTCTCGAGCCGCGGGTGTCCGTTGAGGGCACTCTGAGGGCTCTGTGAGGCAGCGCGTGCGCCTCCCTCTCCCTTTGGTGCCTTTTCAGAGCCGGCTTCGATTTTCTGACTGAAAAAAGGGGGAGAAGTTGTTTTTTACTGGCTTACCGTGAATTGCTTCTGAATTACCTGAGCCCTTTCCATCTGGGATGCTGTTCACGGGATAAATGTGGCGCTGGAAAAGTACCCAGTGAGTGAGGAGTGCTCCCCAGGCTCTCGCGGCCCCGGGCTTTTATTTCTTTTTGTTTCTGGTGGTCTTATGTCTGCTGTGGTGTGCACAGCGCATATGGAGCGGGAAGGAAAAGTTGAAGGGATGGGCTCTTCCCATAAAGTGGGTCTGTGGGATCTGGAGTCCACACAGGCTGTGAGGAAGACATGGCGGCAGGCATTAGCCTTCATGCACAGCACACAAGAGGAGTGGTCTGCTTGAATTTAGTGGATTGGAGTGCAGTTTGGTGGCTCTTTTTGGCATTAGTGTGGTTTTTGTGTGTGGCCTTCATGGGTGCAGGGGAGTTTCAGGGGGCTCCCAAGTACCCTGCAGAGATTCTGGGTGGTCCATTCTGGGTGCAGAGAAAATAGGACTTTCTAAAAGCAGAAAATGAGCAATGCTTGCTGGTTTAAACCATGCACTTCAAGTCAAATATTCTGGCAGCAGCAGGACATGAAGCTCTTGGGAGTGTCCAGACCTCACAACAAGTCAAATATTCTGGCAGCAGCAGGACATCAAGCTCTTGGGTGTCCAGACCTCACAGATGTGCTTTTAGCATTGCTACTTAGGTAAATGATTTGTAACTCCATGGAGAAGGAAAGCTGAAGGTGGCTCTTGGGAGATCTCATGGAAAATTCAGACTTAAAGCGGTGAGATGTGTCCATGTCCTGCTCTTATCGTGGTGCTCTTTTCTAATGTTCTGTTCAAACAGGTTTTAGGGATATTGCATAGAGTTTTTATAATATTCAAACTAATATGAAAGATGGCTCCAAGGGAAAAAAAAATATTCTGCCTGATTTTTAAGAGCTAGGCTGCTGCCCATGGTAAGGGCATTTTAGTAGACCTCTTTTTGCAGCATTTCTGGTTTATTGTGCCAGTAGCTTTGCCTGTTAATTAATAGGAAGAAATGCATAAATTGACAGTGGGGAATTTTGTTTTTGTTTTTTAAAATTGTATTTCTACATTCTGTGTTTGTACATTCTGCGCTTAAACGTGTCAAGTATGTTGTGAAGGAGCCAGGCACAAACCGATATTTGCCATCGATCTGGAGGATGATGTATAGTCAAGGTGACTTTCAAAGCTGTTGTTTGAAGTCAAAAGAATGTCCGTGTACAAATTCCTTAAGTGGTGTGAATTTGGTGGGATTCCCAGTAGGGCTGGTGCAAGACCTCCAGGTGTGGAGATTTTTAGATTGTAGTTCTACATTCGTAGCATTAGCTCCACAGCTGGAGGGTTTCAGTGAAACCTGCCTGAGAAAGGATTGTAGAAGCAAATTGCTTGGTATTGCAGGATTTAGGGTAGGTTCAGGGAATGAAGAAACAGATGATGTGAGGATCAAAAAGACCAGTTTATTAAAACCCAGAATATGATAGCAGATGTACAAAAATTATGTCGCTGAGCAGAATGGAGAATTAAAGCAATGCAGATGTTGCTGACTAAGATGAGAAATGGAAAGAAATACGTCCTAAGTATTGGGGCAACATGCGGACAGTCAGCCATTGTAGCTGCAAACATCCTTTTAATAATTCCTACAGCCACTGCATGAAGGAACAGGTAAGTTGTTTGCTTCTGTTCACTGTCTTTTTAGCTTTGGTGCCCTTAGAGATTATCTGCAACACCTGTACTGTTTGATATAGATGTGAAATTTGACATTATTTTTTCCCCCTTGATTGATTTGTGCCTATTCATGCCTAAGTGTTGCAGGCTTTAATGCTGAGGATTTTGTCTTTACAGAAGCAGTGATGTGATACTGATAAATATAAACAAATAGCAATGATGATAATGCTCCTGGTTGTTCTTTAAAAAGATTAAAGGAATTCTCTGGGGTTTGGGTGCCTTCACGTGGCAGAAATCAGTATGGTATTGCATGGAATCTAAAATGGTAATAATAGGTGATAATGCCAAAGAGTGTGCAAAACGTGAGGCTAGGGCTTGGAGTCTGTTGTGGCAGAAATAAATTAGTATCTAAGTGTGAAATCTGAAGTAAACATAGGAAAAAGGTTTGCGGGGGGGAGAACCCAACTCACAAACTTGAGGAGGTCCTGTGAGATTCCTTATTACCCTAAGCATCTTGCAGCATTAAATGATAAATATTATGTTTATTAGCTGACTACCTATTAGGATTGTCTGTTTATTTCTTAAATTGAGCTGTTGCCCAGCGCATCAAACTGTAATCTGCTAAAGCATCTAGATCTGCTTGTTTGTGGTGTGTTTTATAGGAAAGAGTAACAGGAGCTGGTCTGCAAGAAAGTGTCCTTTTTGGCATATAAAAAGGAATGCATCAGGGCTTTAAATTCTGAAATTTTTGTCAGTGTATAGATTGGAGGCCTGTGCAAAGTGAAGAAAAATAGTCATGGGCTGAAATAGTTTGAAAGATTATTCTTGTTGGTGAGAAAGGGTGGTGAAGAAGGTATGAATTTTAATTAGGCTTTTAGATAAATGGTTTGGGCCAGGAACTGCCATCTGCAAATACCTAACGAGAGGTTCTAAAAAAGATAGATCTGGACTCTTAGAGGGGAGTAGCAGAAAGAGAAGAGACAATGGACAAAAGTTAGAACATGGGAAGTCTCTACTCTATATAAAAAAATAATTGTGTACTGCGAGTGTAAGAATTAATGAGAGTTTGAGTGGTAAGTTTGTGCTTACATAGTGGCTACTTGGGGTTATGCTTTTTTGGTTGGCTTTTTTTTTTAAGAGAGAGATAATAACACTTACATTACATGATATAAGACACTTATGCCTCTAATGCAATAACAGATACCCTCCCAGAGATATTAAAAATAATATACAGTGAGATGGGTCAAACAGCAAGATTTTCCAAGGAGCCCTATGTCCCAGGCTTTAAATACACATATGTAGAACAGGTTTGTGGTCTGGCAGCAAGACCCATATACAAATTTGTAATGTAAGAAAATGGTGTATGTGAAGCCAGGCAGGTGTGGTGGGTTAGGTAGGGATTTTTTCTTGGAGCAGTCATGACTCCTATGAAAGCAACAATCCTATTCACACCTGTCTGGGGTTCAGGTCACTTTAATTTGTAATTTCTCAGCGAACAGTTGTGCTCCTGAGAGCCAGCTGCCTTTTGAGTGTTACTCTGGTTATACCTGGCTCTGTGTGTGCCAAACTGCAGACAAAGTGAAGATCTTTGTACCCTGAGTTCATGGCTTGTACTGGTAAACTGTTAAAATTGAGATTGCCAGACAAATATGTTTAGGCCTAACCTGGTTTTGCTGTCCATGGGTCAGGGGGAGAGCCTAGGGACAGTAGAGTGGCTCATACAGGGAGTATCTTCTATTCTGCACTTGGGTTTCCTGGACAAAAGAAATAATTTATTTATTTCAGGTAAAAGCCTGGGACTGAACTAGTGTGTGTGTGGAGTGAGACAAGGAGTGAACAAACCTTCAGGTTCCAACCTTCAGGTTCCAACCTTTTGTGACTTAACCCCTTTTCGGGGGCACCATCAGGCCAGGCACCGCCTCAGCCCTCGCTGCAGCCCCTCACCAGAGCCTGGCGCGGGCTTCCTTTGGGAAAAGGCTCCCGTTTCACAGGAGGGGGATATAACGTGGTTTCTGAGGGAAAAGCCGGCGGGGCGTGTCTCACCAGGAGATGGGGAGCGGCCTCGGGTCCTCCTCCTCAGCGGCCTCTTCGTCAGAGGAGTCAAAGCCGCCCGCTGTCACGGCGCAGGGCTGCGGCGGGAGGAGAGCGCGGAACTCACCTGGGGGCCGGGGGCCGCCCTCCCCCTCGCCTGAGCGAGAGCTGCCGCTCGTGGAAAGCCTCCGCCGCCTATTAGGAGAGGAGCATTCCGATTGATGGGCAGCGAAAGAGAGGCAGGCTTTAAAAAAGAAACACAGGAGCTGGCAGCGGCGGCTGTCTTTGTGCTGATTGGCTGAGGCGCTGTGGCGGGGAGGGGCGCGGCTC